GCCTTGCTACACTAAGAGTCTTACCACATCGAGATGGCCATGTGCAACCGCTCGACAAATAGGCGGATCTATTACATCCCTTCCATTGATCTCCACACCCTCCATACTCAGTAGACAAGCAACCGTGTTCACGCGACCGTGATATGCAGCCACGGAGATTGGAGAGTGGCCTCCAACACAGATATTCAGACTGGTCCCTGGCACCGCAAGCAGCCGTCGTAGGAGCACGGTATCCAACCTGGCCGCGGCGTGGTGGAGAGATGTAGACAGCGTCTCGAATCTCCCGCGGCCTCCAACAAAATTGACGTTGATGTCTTTCTCGGCCAACAGCCTTTCGGCTATCTCGTCGCATGACGAGTAAGTAGACAGCCAAAGTGGCGTATTGCCATCTTTGTCTTCGCAGTTCACGTTGGCACGGGGGTGACTTAGGAGCAAATTGACCATTTCCAAGCGTTTGTTTTGAACGGCGAGCTGGAGCGCCGTAGAGCCTTTTCGGTTCTGGATGTCCAAATCCAGATTTTTTTGCCTGAGAAGTCTTTTGACAGCCTCTACTGACCCATAGGCCACTGCTTGGTGAAGAGGTAGCTCAGCCTCTTGTGATGATTTGGTACCAAGAAACACCTTGGCCATCGGATCGTTTGAAAAAATCATTTCCATCACGGGCCTATTGAAGCGACGTGCCCGGTCCCATGGCGAGTGGCCCGAATCATCCTGTAGATCAGGGTCACTGCCTCTAGAAAGTAGCAGATGCACGAGCCCTATTCGGCCCGCGAAGACTGCTAGGTGGAGCGCCGTTCGGCCGTGTTTGTGCTTGATGTCCACCTGGACGTTGGGTTGACTTAAGACACTTTTGACGGCGGAAAAGGTTCCGTAGTGGATAGCATACCACAGGGCGCTCTCCCGCGCTTGATTTTGAATGTTGATGTCTAGGTCTCCACGACTGAGCAAGAGGTCCCGCACAGCAGCGGAAGAGTATTTGAGCGCCCGCATTAAAGGAGTTTTGCCTCGGTAAAATGCATTGATGTTGGCGTTGTACTGGAGCAAAGCCTCCGCAAGACCAACGTTGTCGTATTTGACGGCCAAGTGCAACAGATTGCTGTTCTGAAATTTGATGTTGTATTTCCAGATGCTGGGCTGCAGTTTAAAATCAAAGTCTTTGGATGATTTTGCGAGGGCAAATAATGCACTACCGTCCAAATACGACACAATCCACAGCAGAAGCTCGTTGGGCAGCTCTCTGATGTTTGGCTGTAATATATTAGCTCGTCGGTAAACTCAGTAAGAACGAATTGAACAGACCATGATTGGACAGCGGATGGAGCAAACGAAATGTAGATAGGGTTGAGGTGAGAGTTGTGAAAGTAATTTCGGAGGCCTTTATATACTCACCTTAGCCAAATTCCACGGTCAGCTATGAGTGTAGTCTGTCAGTCCGCTGAGAGGTGCGTAGCAATCACACGGCAGCAACGAAGCCTTGACAACAATGTTAAGGCGGAGTTGGAGGACATCTGGAGCCTAGCTCCTGGGAACGCCAAGACTGTTCCTGGTAGTGTGTCGATGGCATGAGAACTGAATCTATCTCTACGTACCCGCATCTTGCATCTAGCGCCATAAGAACAAATCACAACCTATCACGCACTTCGAAATTCATAAGCAACCCAGAACCTAACGTAGCATTTGTCGACTTTGCTGCTCACCGCAGTAGTCAGTCTGTTCGCTACTCCCTGGTCACCGCGATGGACAGTCACAGGTGCAGCTGATTGCAGCAGTGGTCTGGAATGATATCCCTTCATGCAGGCCACTGATCGGCTGTATACGGCGCATACTGCGTGTGAATGCATTCTTCGACGTACCGACTGTTTCAAGGAAGTGTTCCATGCCAGCCACGCAGCCATGTAGGTAAGGAGCCCACGGCGATGGCATATAAAGCTGGCGAGGGAACGCCGCAGTGGATTGCCCAACACCACCACAATCCGAAGCATTTTCTGCCTTTGACGACAACCTAAATAACTACCATGCTGCCTTGGAATCCGTTTCTTGTTTGTGAGATAGAGGTCAGCCCCAATGGCGGTCCTGGCTCTTGTTGCGGGACGACGAAAAAAGGCGAGCCGTGCAAAAACTCGATCAAAGTTGAAGACACCAAGATCGGCCATCAAAAGTTGACCTCTCTCGCCAGAGAGCCATTTGACCTGTCATCGTTGCAGTCGAAGCTCTGTGATGTCGCCAGAGACTTCCTCTGCGCGAGATGGCACCGACAACGGCAGGCCGACCAAGTTGGCCAGCAGTGGTATGAAGCCGCCGTCCGCAACCAGGCGCGAGTACCACATGGCTCCAGAATGGCTTCTCCATCAGTCATTGTACATCGGGGCCAGCGTCAGACATCGTCAGCATCCAGGCGACGCCCTGCATCAGACAACACCCGGTCATCACCACCACCGGTGCCCCTGTCAACCAACCCCGAGCCAGTGCAGCCATTCAATCCATTTGTGACTTCTGCAACGCTGCGGACGAACAATGTTCCATGGCGCGTTTCGCCGACCCGACCAGCTATCCTCTCATCGGCAACTAATATCCGGGCTGGTTTCCAAGAATTGACGCTCCAGAGTCTCACCTCGAGTGAAGAGGTCGACAGCGTCCACGTCGACAGCATCTACTGTGTGTTCTGCCAGACCGAGGATGAAGACCATGCGGACGAGAGCGTGATCTTGCACTGCGGTCAGTGCACATCGCTCTGTCATCTGTCATGCGCCGAAGAATGGTTGGAAAAGCGAGATACAGGGTTTGGCACGTCATGCTGTGTGTGGTAAGTGTGAACGACCTTATTTTTGAGACGACCAAGACACTGATGACCGCAGCCGAAACGAAGGAGCCCTAGATGCCATCATTCGCCCCTTACGAATCCCCTCGTCGGATGCCGAGACATATTCCGTCCACACGGCAAGCGATCCATCTCCCACTGGTGGGCCCCGGCGCTCAGCCAGACTAGCAGGAACTCATCTACCGCGAGAACCTTCTACTTCTGCACCGCTTCGCCGGTCGGCACGACTGAATTTCACTCAGCGTAGGTGATCACAGGTTACAGCCGAGTTTGACGGAAAATGCGAAAAGCGAGTGAATCACACGTGAGTGCACGTGACCGACACTCGGCATCGTGATCAGCAACTGTGGTTGTAGCATTGATATAGATTTTTGGAGCAAGCTTAGCAAGAAATGAGATTCCGATTGTAAAAATTCCAGAGTACAAGGCGACGGTTCGTTTTTGCAAGTGCTGGGCACCACTAGACCTTAGCCAAAAGATACTGGCTGCTTCACTTAAATTGACAATGACATAGCGTTAAATGTGCTGGTAGATTCAGTTTCTTATTTCATCATACCTAACGGCGTGACCAGAGAGACACACCGATTCATCTCAGTGGAGCCGTGCCACAAAAGGCGGAGATTGTTGGCAGGAAACGCAACTCGTGGGGCTGGAGCAATTGACAAATCTCTCTGTGCTTGTTAGTTTGACCCTGGGAATCGATGTTGACCCGGGGAACCTCAAATCATTTCTAGGAGTTGTCTATCCCCTAGGAGTCACAATTTAGCTCCTGGGGCTATTTCTAAGCTCTAGGAAAATGAGATCTACCCCTGGGATCTTCACTTTACGTTCCTGACTGAATACGACACTGGCTTTGGGAATAAATACATCGACCAGATCTGGGAGCTGTGGAGCCCCTGGGAGCTTACTTTAGGGTCCTAGAGTCAATAGCTTGCCTTCCGAGATCGCCGAAAGCCCTCACAAACACCTTCACCGGACCTGCGCACAATTCTGCGTCATTGGATCCCCCAGGAGGCCAAATCATCGCCCCAGGAATCAACAAGTCGTCAACAGGAACGCGGCTTTGATTCCCCGAGGTGGGGATAACAGACCCCAGAAGCTACATCGCGTTTCCTGGGGGCTACGTGGCTCCTAGAAGCTGCTCCTTTGCCCACAAAAACGTTTCTGGGGCCCCCGGGAGCAAGAGAACTCCTAGGGCTAAGAGATGAATTCCTAGTACCGATGCAACGGTCAACAGGAGCGTGACCGATTATTGATAATGACGATGAGATGTCCATGTTAGTTGGGTACAGTATGGATATCTATTTGCTGTTTATACAGACAGAGACGGAAAATGCGCATAAGCAAAGAAAATCTCCCCTTTCCCAGACTTCAGCCGTGAAAGACGTCAAGCCCAAGGAAATTGATATCAGACGCATCAAGCCTAGTTAGTGGATTTAGTTTCCCTGATTTCTGGAGGCAGTAATGAGACCGCGTCTGAGATAAAAGCCCTGCTATCTGTAGAGAATTACCGAGCATGACGAAGCAGAATTACTGACTCTAGATACGTTCAAGCTAAAAAAGAACCATGCCACTACTAGTTCATATTAGTTAGTAGTATATCGAGTTACCACAGTATCTGCGACCTCCGGAGCTTCGCAGGCTCAACTGGGCTAGAAGCAATCACGCCGTTCTGAAACTCCCTGTCCATGCAATTTAGCGCAAATTGGTTGCTTCCAACGTCACTTTCTGACTCCTAAGTCTGACATGGATTATGTACATGGAGCGGCGAATCCACAAAATGATAATTCACCAAGGAAGAAAAATCCGGCCCTGACTCTTAATCGCATCTAGTTGGAATTGCGAGGTATCCTTTTCTCTGTATCTTGACTAGCTTTTAGAACCGCGCACTTCCTAGGTGCTATCAATGCAGGACCAACAACGGTGGCTAAACGAATGAATGGTCTCAACAGGCCTCAATTAGGACAGGCACCCGTGCCTGCGTATTCGAAGCTCCCCATTTTCTGCTCTAGAGGCCTGGGCTCAAGTATGGATTCCCACTCAAGTGGTCAGTAGATTGAGCAACTGCCGCAAATCGATGGGCAAGTAGGGTAGGCGTAAAGTGTCGAGTCCGGTCATACGTCATCCAGCGAGAAAGCTAAATGCCAAGATATGGTCAGCAAACAATGTACTATACAAATCTCTAGGTAAGACAAACAGTTGCAATCCGCACTCCAAGCCACAGGCACCTATGCCTTCTCAGAAGCATCGTCCACGGCTCCTCAATCAATGGTCTGTCAATGTCTACACCCGTCTGATCAAAGAATTTCGCAGGGTAATACAGCCGGCTCCAGATGTGTCCTCTAATCAGCAAGTCTTCCGGCAATTGCTGGGTGGGTGTGCCATCTATGTGGGGAAATGATTCGGCTTCAATCTTTCTAATATCGATGTTGGGTTGAAGCAAAGTATTCAGATAATTTGCGAGTATCAACCATGGAACTAGCGGCTCGAGTCGCTGAATGGCTGCTGGATGGAGCGAGAGGCACCACAGGAATGCCAAAGAGGCATGCACGGTGGGGTGCATAGTTGGCTCGCTGGCTTGGCCAAGGATAACGATCAGGGTGTGGAAAGCGAGAGAGCTGGCACGGAATGCAAATTGAGATGAGAAGTCGGTGTAGGGATGTCTGTTTAAGTCGATATGTGCTGTTGTGGATGCCCACTGCTTGGCATTGACATAGGCGTCTGCAGTGGAAGTACTTGGGTCGCCAGCGAAATCGGTAGCAAAAGCTCCATTTTCTTCCCCATACTGGAAAATTGCAGCAATATTGCAGCACGTGATAAAAATGCCTTGCTGTGCCTCTCGGCCTAATCGGCTAGCCCCCTGGCGAAGATTCACAAGGAAGAACTTTGACCGAGCATCAAACTGCTCACTCGGCATGCGCATGAAAAGAACACCATGGGCAGCCAAAAACGAAGTGATCAGTGTGTGTTCACCAGCCGGTTCACTTAGGATAGGGTTGAACAGCCGTATCATACTCTCCCGCGCATTTGCAAATGGGTCCACGCTGAGCAATGCTTTCGAGTAGTAGAAGAACCGCTGCAAAGTATCCGAGAGAGAGAGGACGCCAAGGTGGTGCTGGATTCGGCCGAGTTCAGAACGTTGATAGAGATACTGATTGTACCAATATCTAGAAACCTCTGCCCATATATCGCGGACCGTGTCGTCTGTATCCTCCACTGCCATACGATACCGCGCTAGGTCCCCCAGACATTCGAACCAGGTTCCCTTGAAATTCGGGACCTGCTCTAGCAGAAGTGTCACCATCGAATACGAGAAATATATGAAGCCTAATATATGATCTTGCATAAAAGGTGTAACAAGGAGTCTTTCCAGCAATAGTTCAAGGCAGGAATGGATTCCGTAGCGCCACATGCGTCCAGGCATCTGGTACTTTTCAGCTTGGCTCCTCACGGCTGGACTGGCTGCTGGATGTTGCGAAGCAATAAAAAAGTCGTGATGTTCGTAGAGGAGTGTTTGGTGCAATGAGATGACGGTCGTGACAGGCATTTGTGAGATGTTCTCTATCACTTCAATGCATTTGTCCTCTGCAATGACTAGCCGTGCGTATGTTTTTTCCACTTCATTGACGAGCTGTTTTTCGGGAATAGGGTTGGCCAACTGCTTGACCATCTGTATATTTGAAGCGTGATCTCCCATTTCGAATTTGCTTGAGTCATACCCTAGGCTGGCTATTGCGCTTTATCACGAGCCCTCGTACGTCACCAGATATTGCTATCAACGGCAATGGGACTTGCTTGGGGTAGCTGGAATCGATCGATTTGAAATAGAATGAGGTGGGCATTCGTTCAAATAGGTTGCGAAAAGCCCTAGTGATGCACCCTAGAAAGCCCGGCCGTGTCACGATCTGCTGTGCCTCAGTTCCAGATTCTTTCAGGGGTAATAATCATAATCTTTGCAGCATGAGGGAATCAGAACCCTAGCGTATGGGAGGGAATTGCTAAGGGCACTCCCGCTTTTCCTGGGGACACTTCTTATTATGTAATACCAGTGATTAGGTAACGTATTTCACATGCGAGCGGCCACCCCAAGCGAGTGGCCACCCCAAAACACCATAGTAAATGCGATAAATTACAACTTTATATCTCAACAACCATGGTTTATAGGTATTTTTCATTTTAGCAGAATGTTTTTTAGCTGATATCTAGCCTCTTTAGGGAACTTGGAGAATTTCTATGTCTTCATGATGGAGATATATATATTTGTAGCTCATGGCAGTGTAATTTTCAGTAATTTTTGAAATGATGATAATATGGCTTTATGATTCCCTTGAAATTGAACCATAGTGCTAATGAGACTTATCAATAGCTATTGGTAAATAATTAAATATATTTAAGAGGTGGTTGTTGAGATAAAGTAGAGAATATATCGCATTTACTATGGTGTTTTGGGGTGGCCACTCGCTTGGGGTGGCCACTCGCTTGGGGTGGCCACTCGCATGTGAAATACGTTAGTTAGGGAACTGATAACTATGACATTTAGAATGATGTTGCTGTGGTAATTCCAATACAATCACATGACGTTTTCAATTACCTAATCATGGATATTACATAATTAGGAGTGTCCGGAACAAAAGTGGGAGTGTCCCTATCAATTCCCGGCCAATTTACTATCATGCAAGACTTAAATTCACCACCCGATGGTATTCGCTAGAAAGAGTCAATTCCAGTAAGCTGGGTCGGAAGGCGTGACCCTTCTCCTTTCTCCTCTGGAGAGAAATACCCGATCTGGCCAGAGATCTTCCGTTGGAGATGCGGGAGAGACTCTAGTAGAATTCCTGGATGCTTTAGCTGGGGCCTTCTTTACTTCTGGCTTCACTGCTGGCTTCACTGCTGGCTTCACTGCTGGCTTCACTGCTGGCTTCACTGCTGGCTTCACTGCTGGCTTCACTGCTGGCTTCACTGCTGGCTTCACTGCTGGCTTCACTGCTGGCTTCGCTGCTGGCTTCGCTGGTGGCTTCACTGCTGGCCTCACTGCTGGCTTCGCTGGTGTAAGATGCTGCTCCTCGAATCTTTCCGGGTGATGTTTGCGGAGCAATTCTCGCAGTAATCCCAACGGTCGCTTATTCCAATATAGCTCCGCAAACCACAGGATGGGCGCAGTGCCTATGAACGGGTCTGCACCGTTCTCGACGAGTAGACGAACAACTTTGCCGTGGCCATGGATAACAGCTTTGTGCAGAGCGGTTTGGCCGACGCTGTCGAGCTTGTTCGGATCTATTCTATGCTGCAGGAGCAGAAGAACGACATCTGCATGGCCATTCGAGGCTGCTGCACGCAAGGACTCTTCTCCCTCTGGAGATGCTCCGCGTTGTCGGAGAATTTCTGTCACGGCGACTATATCGCCTTGGCGAGAAGCTTCAACTAGCGTTTTCTGTCTCTGTGCAACTTTTGGGTTTTGCTGGAGTGCGTTGTTGGTGGGTGAAGATCGAGTCTCACTCTTTTGCTTGCTTTTATTTCTTCTTAGTTTGGAGAAGACTTTTCTCAGCCGAGTGGATATGGGCATACTCGAAGTGCAGTAAGTGTATGGCGGATGGAGCGGAGAATTGAGGAGCTTCCAGATTAATATACGCTCTTTCCTACTTCCCTTCTCGATCCGATGGTGTGGTTGTGCCGCTCGTATTTGGCTGGACTTCTGATCTCTACTAACTCAGAATAGACAAGTGTCTTGCGCCTCCTCGTATTGCATTCCATTCATGAAGATAAGAAACAAAGACTTTTTAGCGTTGTTACTTGTCTTTTGATCAATAAAGATGGCATAGGTTGCGTTCATCTGTCTGTTCAGTCAAAACTCTGCTGATCGGGTGGATATTCCCCCCACCTTTCCAATCATGCTTCTGATGCGAGATGCCATCGACACGTTTCTAAGTGCAATAAGCTTTCTAATAGAGTCGATTTATGGTATTGCCGTCGGCTTCCCAGCATACTTTATTATCAATCCCATTCTCCATTTTCTGGCTCTCCCATATACTCTTAAATACTTCTCCTCTAACTGGTCTTTACTCTCTTGCGAAACGCAGCCTGCCGAGCTATATCTTCGTCATTTCGAAAGACTCCATCCCGAGCTGATAGAACACGTGCGTGCCGCGTATGCTGCAAGAACAAACAAGCGCCCACCGAGGAAGCTCAAGTTTTGGCCCCGCGAAACGAGTCACATCATTCTACCTCTGGTAGTCGCCATTCGCGAGTGGAAGTTCTCTTGCGCCGCCGGTCTCTTTGCGTTATTAGAGGACTGTGGATGGGACCGAACGCTCTTGTGGACATTCCTCCGAGATCAAGTGGAAAATGCAGGCTTGGTGTCAGCCGAGGAGAAAGTGGCCTTCGCGCGCGTCATGGAGGTGGCATGTTCAAATCGATTTAAGGGAATTCGACCTGCATGGGTACGCTCACTACAGTTTTTACGCAAGTGGACGGGCGAGACGGAACGGAGCTCAAAGATGCAACAGGCTCAGATTGAAAAGTTGAAGGAAAAGTTTGATTCTCTGGGAGTTCCTGTTATTGCAGTGTCTGGGAACTGTATCGACTGGGTATTACAACGGAATGCTGTCCTCGTCTTGGACCAGAATATTCGGGATGCATCGTATAGGATGAAAAACTTTCAACCCATTTGGATAAATGTGAAGAATAGTCAGGATCCGGAGAAGATTTCAAAAAGCTACTGGCAGCAGGTTTCGTTTGGCTGAGGGAAATAATCGAAATTCCAATTGACTCGATTGCCTCGGCGGGGCGGTTGCGAAAGCGCAACCGTATCATTAGTTACCTGGATGCGTCGAGAAAGTAGCTTATCTTCGTCAAAGTTCTCTGCATCGGGACCGTAAAAGATTTCCACAAGGCGTGCTCGTGCAGAAAATACATACTTCAGGGTGGTAAGCTCCCAGTCTTCATCGGTAGAACTATCAGCATCACGTCCTTCAACGTCAGATTTTGCCGAGAAGTTGCTTGATTTGTATTTTGACTTCAGACACAGGCGGATTCTGAAAATGGTCCTTTCTGGCTGCACGGGTATAGTACGGAACTATAGTTGAGCCATAACGGGTCACCTGTCACTGCGGTCGTACACAGAGGGCTTCAAGCATCAGAGGCGTCACAGTGCGTTTGCGACCTACTTGAGGTTAAGGGGCGTACATGCTTCCAACTTGTCACAGGTTTCTACGGATATTGATGATGGTCAGCTTGTTACATTCAGCCTGTTCCGCTATTTCAGATATGGTAAAGGACTGGCTCACTATCATATCACGAATGGGAACGAGCTTTGTAGGAGACAGTCTTGGAGCCATACCGCGTTGATGTGATAGGGGGCCAGGCTGGTGCAATGTGTCGCCTCAGCCAGGAAGCATTGTGGAGCACAATGGCCAAATGGATCATCTTCTTCGCGAAGGTGAGCCACCATGCACCGGAACACCTACATTCAGTGCCTTGGCAGCCATCAAGTCAACTATTCCTGATCTTACCAAGGGTGTGTTTGGAGAGGCTCTTTCATCTACCACGTCTACCGCTCTTGCCCGCATTCCAACTTCGGTTTCCTCTTGTCGTGGTCTTCGCCGTAATTAGGACCATAGATGATAGGTTCTATTCGGGACTGTTGCGTGAGAGCCCCTTGCGTCGGGCCCACGATATCCCGTGCTGGACATCGCACACAAATATCGCCTGGCCTTCCCCTCCCTCGAAAAGAACATCGCCGTTTCGAGGGAGAGCCGGGCTCTCTCCCGCGACGGTTTCTTCAATAGTTCCTTTTACAATGGTGCGTCATAGTTCGGCGGCCCCCAGTCTAACCCCTGGGGGACAGACCACCCTGGGCTCCTCGATCTATCCACCAGAGTACATATGGAATTCCCTCTCCGACTCCCAGCAGGACTCATTCATCTCTACTGTGTCCGCGTCCCTTGTTGCGGGCGACGGGCAGCGCAAGCGCCCACGTTTAGACCTCACTGCGGAAGAGGATTCTACCGCTCCGCACGAATCGAATCGAATCGAACTTTTGCCTGATTCGATTCGATTCGAATTAATATTGAAAATAACGATTCGTACGAATTCGAATTCATGACCGGTTCGAATTCGATTCGGTGTTCGCGAACTTTTTTGTATTAAATCCTCATTGGGAAGGCGGTAAACCAAGTCGGGCAGTACCTGTAGTTGAACACCATCAGTTATAAGCAGCAATCGACACCAGACTTGTAGTCTAATAAACAACCCTTATTAAGTTAACAGGTACAGATATAACTAAGCTGAGGTTGGTCTTTGATATAAAATTTAAACGATTTGGCCTTGGATCGAATAAGCTGTAGGGCAGTATCAATATACATGGGTTTTCGCCAGCTACGTCCATGCACATAATATATATTCTTTACCCCTAAGTTTACTCAGTAAGAACACAACCTTATTTATAGTCGGCTTCGCTTCAAATTTAGATTATCTCATAGATCCCCTCGAGATACACGTAACACATCAATATAGAGCCAAAATATCAATAGTTGCATATTTTATTCAATGTAGAGTAAATGGATCGTCTAATCGGGTTAGCGGAGATTCCACAAGAACGCGTCTCCGCGCGTACGTGCTTTCAATCAGAACAACATTCGAATCGAGGTAAAAAGAGCTATCGAAAACCACCACTTCTGGGTGCTCCAGAGTAAGCAATCAAGCAAGACACAAGCTTGATATACTAATGTAACGTTAGATGACTTCTCCACTTGCTACAACATTCGATTGTCCTAATACTAGGAAGAATAAACGCGATTATGCGGCGCTTAATAAATACGGCCTCCTTGCAGAGGATGTATCACCCCCGCCCCCTCGAAAGAAGAGAGCGGTCCAGCCCGCCTCTAAGTCACCGACTCCTCCGATTTCAACGTCCCCTACCGCTCCCAGCGATGTTTCTAGAAGTTTATCGAACCTTGATACGGACATATGCCCATCCCAATCAATCTCTCAGATCGAATACGAGGTTGAGAGGGTTAAAATCAAGCAGAAAGATGAGAGTGGGTCGAAAGAGCGGAGCTGGGTATGGAAACACTACCGTACAACACCTGAATCTGGTACCTGGAGACTAGGAAATAAGGAGCGGCTCGAGCTTAAACACCAGTGTATTGTATCGCCATCTAGCTGTCGATTCTTTCGATTTGCATCTAAACTGCGATCTTCAACCACGGCGTTGAAACAGCACCTGCAGCGAACACACAAGCTCTTTCAGGACGGTCATCCAGAGTGCCAAGGACCATTAAGCTCATGGATTTCTAAGGAAAAGAAGCTCCCATTCGAAGAAGCTGCCCTGAATTGGATTGTATCGACCTACCAGCCGTTTACATGCGTCGAACAACCTTCATTTAAGGCCATGCTGAGGTCTGCAGGCTTTCAGGACTCCGTACTAAGTGCGGATACTGTTTCACGCCGATTATATCTTCGGCTTGATGCTCTTGACAATGAGCTTTTAATCTTGATGTCTTCAGCTTCGTCAATCGCGCTATCTCTTGATGGTTGGACAAGTCAGAACTCGTTGCCAATGCTGGCAATTAGTGCTCACTGGATGACCTCTACTTTTCAGCAATATCGAGCTTGTATTGAGTTTGTTGAAATCGAAGGCAACCACTCTGGAGAGAACCTTGCTGATATCGTCGCGACGGTTCTTGAGAGGTTTCATATATCTGATAAAGTTATGACGATTACAGCCGACAACGCATCTAATAATGACACCCTACACCGATGCCTTTACCGAAGGCTGTCTCAGCGGTATGATAAGTACCTGGCCGAGACCATCATCCGAGAAGGGAGGATGAAGTTTACCCAGAACTCCCAAATCCGCTGCTTTGCTCATACCTTGAATTTGGTTATGAAAACTATATTGAGGTCTCTACGCGCCAGCTCGCATAAGGAAGCCTGTGATCTTCTTGATGATGTTGCTAAGAGGAGCTGGAAGATGATCAATGCTCCTACTTCACCTATTGCAAAGCTTCGACTACTTGTCCTTTGGATTGCGCGATCTCCTCAGCGAATACAGAGGTGGGATAATCGACCTGGATGTACAAAAGCTATCAACTACGATGTTGATACTCGATGGAACTCTACCTTTGTTATGATTGAGAGAGCTGAAGAGTGCCGCCGGCAGCTCGAAGATACAGTCAACGATGAACCAGACATTGAAGCCTTACGTCTCACACCGAACGACTGGAGACAGCTCTCAGATATCAAGAAAATCCTGGCTCCCTTCAACGAATATACTGAGTACGTCTCCCGAGATAGCCCTTCAATTCATATGGCGGCGCGTATGTTTGAAGAGCTCCATTCTATACTCTTCGCTATCAAGGAACGACGAGGCGAGTGGCAGAAGGTCTCGCCAGCAATAACTATTCTTATTTCCGATGGAATCTCACTCCTGGAGCAGTACCACGACTGCGCCAAAGACAACGATATATACTATATCGCAAGCGTTCTGGACCCTCGAATCAAGACCAAGTGGCTCAAAACGCTACCAGATGGAGAGAAGATTATTGGCCGAATCAGGGCGTTCCT